GAAATAGAGAGGAGGAAGAGGAGAAAGACATAAAAAGGAGAGAAAGAAAGGAAAGAGATAAATAGAGGAGAAAGAGGGGAAAGATAAAGAAGAGAAAGAAAGGAAAGATAAGAAGAGACGAGGAAGAGGATAAAGAGGGGAGGAGCAGGGCAGGTGACGACAGGTGAAGCGGCAGAGGCGACGATGACAATGCAGTAACGTCGCTCGTACAAATTCCGATAGCGTGCGAAGGGCCGGGGAGGGGGGGGGGAGAAGGTAAGGAAAGGGTTCGCGGATTTGTCGTCGCTGGAGAGAGAAATTGGGAGAGGGAGGGAGGGAGGAGAAAGACAGACAGACAGAGCCAGAGAATCGATCGCCTTCTCAGAGTGCGTGACCCAAGCTGACCTCGCTCCCCCTTCCCTTCCGTCGGCACAGGTCAATTAGCCGGCCTTCTCGTCAGGTCTCTTCACGCGCGCTTTGAGGAAATGCTACATTCGGGAAAATGTTCTCAGAAGCGATGCCAATTGCAGTGATAGCGGCATTAGAAGGTTACTTACAAGAGGAATAAGAAAGACAATGTTTAGGACGCTGAAGATAGGTAAGACACACGAATTAAGATGATGGTAATACCTACTAGAAGGGCGAGTGAAACAAAGCGCAAACACGGATTATTCAGATTAGATAACGAGGACGGTAAAGCTGACGATGATGATGAAAATGACGATGACTATGACAATGAAGATGATGATGATAATGATGATCCGACACGAGACCAACAGCGCGAGCCAGAGCAGGAATCAAGGCCAGCAGCACCCCGCCCCGCCCTCCCTTCGCGCCCCGTCAAGCAACGCCAATAAAAACTGCCATAAAAAAGCCAATGCGCCCGACATAACTCCCGACAGGGAGCACGACCAGCTGGCAAGTCGTCCTCCCCGACCCAACAACCTGCAAGCGCACTGCATGGCTCGAGTGACGCAAAGGAGTCCAACGGAAAAGTGACAATACCATGAATTACGACCTCCCTTCGCGACCCCCCTCACGATCTTCTTTCACGACTTCCCTTCGCGACCTTCTTTCACAACCTCCCCTTACGACTTCCCTTCACGACCTTCTATCACGACTTCCCTTCGCGACCTTCTTTCACGACCTCCCTTCCAGATCTCCCTTCACGACCTTGACCCCCGGAAGGTCGTGAGCGCCAGGACCCCGACGCGCACGACAGGCGATTATCGTATATCATCCATGTCATAAATCCCTGACATCAAAGTTTGAAGATTGAAAGAAAAAGAAGAAAAAGAAAAAGGGAGAGAAAAATAAAAATAAATAAATAAACAGGGCCCGTCCCCTAAAAATAAACATAGATACATAACTTTCATTCCGTAGCGAAGATCCAAACCTAAAACAACGTCCTACGAAATAGGTGACGCGGGAACCGATTTGGAATTATTAACGAAATAAATCACAGTTACGAGCTTGATCCCACATCCCTGGCTTTCCGGGGATTAACTTTTCTGAAATAAGGTCGGGATACAACTAGGGAGGAAAGGAGGGAAGGAGGGAGGGAGAGAGAGGAAGGGGAGAGGAGAGGGAAAAGGGAGAGAGAGAGAGAGAAAGGGTAGGGGGGAGGAGAGAGAGGGAGGGAGAGAAAGAAAAAGAGAGATTGAGAAGGGGGGAAAGGAGAGGGAAGGAGAGAGAGAGAGAAGAGGAAAGAAGAAAGGAAGGTGAGAGCGAGAGAGAGACAAAGACGTATCATAATGCGTGACTCGTGGAGTTTCATCCTTTTATTACTGCTGTGATTATGGCCGCTCGGGGAGGGGAGGGGAGGAGAGAGGGACGAGAAAAAAGAAGAACACGAAGATGATAATAATAAAAACACTACTAATAAGGAAAAGGAGGAGAAAGTAAACACATAAAATTGCAAAAGCTGCCCAAATCAAGCCCCGGAATCCTGCGAAGACTGTCCACCTGGCACCGAGGTCGCAGCGCAGTTGAGGCGAGGTCCCGGCGAGGTCAACCTCCAAGGATGCCATTCATGAGGGATTATCGCCCCCCCCTCCCAACTCCCCCTTATTTTCCTCTTTGTATTGCCAGAATGCGTGCGGAGAGAGAGAGGAAGAGAAAGGGAGAGGGAGAGGAAGGAGAAAGGAAGAAATAAAGAGATCGGAAGAGGAGGAGGAGAAGAAAGACGAGAACGACGGAGATATTGAATAACAAAAGGAGCATGGAATAAGAAAGAGAGAGAAAGACATAGAGATCAACCCCCTACCCCCCAAAAAAAAGAACATGGTTGAATACACCAGTTTCCCTTCTGATCGACCCCGTGCGAAGCTATGGTCGAATGCACCCTCACATCATGCGACGATCCATGTTGTGTCATGAGAAGCGGCGGAAAGTGGGAGGGGGGGGGGCGGTGAGCACTGGTAAACATGCACTCTCTTATTCTCTCTCTCTTTCTTCCTTCTCTCTTACCCTTTTTCTTCCATTCTCTTGCCTTTGTCTATCTCTCTCTTACTCTTTCTTTCTCTTGCTTTTGTCTATATCTCTATTTCTTCCTTTCTCTCTCTCTCTATCTATCTCTTTCTCTCTCCTTCTCCCTCTCCCTCTACTTCTCCCTCCCCCTTTCTCTCTCTCTCCACCTGTATCTTTCTCTCTCTCTCTCTACCTGTATCTTTCTCTCTCTCTCTACCTGTATCTTTCTCTCTCTCTCTACCTGTATCTTTCTCTCTCTCTCTACCTGTATCTTTCTCTCTCTCTCTACCTGTATCTTTCTCTCTCTCTCTACCTGTATCTTTCTCTCTCTACCTGTATCTTTCTCTCTCTCCATACTTGTATCTTTCTCTCTCCTTCTCCCTGTCTTTCTATCTCTTTTTCTCTCCTTTTCTCTCTCCCTCTCCCCTTCTTTCTACCTCTACATCTCCCTCTCCCTTTCTCTCTACTTCTGCCTCTCCTTTTCTCTTTACCTCTGCCTCTCCCTTTCTCTCTACCTCTGCCCCTCCCTCTCTCCTCCCTGTCTTTCTCTCTCCTTCTCCCTCTCCCTTTCTCTCTACCTCTGCCTCTCCCTTTCTTTCGGCTTCTCCCTCTCCCTTCTCTTTCTCTCTACCTCTCCCTCTCCCTTTCTCTCTACCTGTCTCTTTCTCTCTCTCCTTCTCCCTCTCCCTTTCTCTCTACCTCTCCCTCTCCCTTTCTTTCGGCTTCTCCCTCTCCCTTTCTCTCTACCTCTCCCTCTCCATTTCTCTCTACCTCTCCCTTCTTTTTCTCTCTCCCTCTCCCTGTCTCTTTCTCTCTCCTTCTCCCTCTCCCTTTCTCTCTACCTCTCTCTTTCACTCTACCTCTCCCTCTCCATTTCTCTCTACCTCTCCCTTCTCTTTCTCTCTACCTCTCCCTCTCCCTTTCTCTCTACCTCTCCCTCTCCCTTACTCTCTAACTCTCCCTCTCCCTTCCTCTCTACATCTCCGTCTCTTTCTTTCTCTCCCCCCTCTCTTTCCCTTTTCTCTCTCCCTCCCTCCATAGCCCCTATTCGAACCTCATGCAAAAAAAAATCCAAATATTCCTTTATTCATCAAACGTTTTTCCAGTAAACCACAATGTTCGAAATCAATTAAAAAGCGCAGCGAAATGGAATACTTGAGTTGGAATATTCGTCACATAATGCATTTTTAACAAAGAACAATAGTAAAAAAAAACGGATATACCTTTCCATTAACAGCTGATCATTCCATTTCATAAAGAATAATTCACTAACAACTAATTGCACAACATCACGCAAAACGTAGTTGCATAATCACAGATATACTGCAAAGCTGCCACGTAAACCCACTCAAAAAAGCGAAAGTCAGACAAAAAAAACAAAAAAAAAAACAAGAATACATCGATCAATAAAAAAAAATACATTTCAAATCAAGACAAAAAAAAAAAAAAAAATAGTAATTAACAACAGATACGCCGGTTGAACTTTCTATCTGTCGGCCATATAATGCTGCTGTAAATTTTATGGTTTGCAACTGAGTGCTCACTGACCGGGGATTTCGTGCGCTCATGCGGTGGAATGTTTACACCGGCTAAGGTATTCAAATGCGGGTGGCGGTCCGTAGATTTTTGCATCGCTATTAGAATAATGATTATTACTTTTTCTATTTTTTGCGTGGGGGGGGGGGGGGATTAATTACATTGGCATCCTTACTATCATTTTGTCATTATGATCATTAATTCTATAACAAAAATAATTTACATTATTATCATCAATGTCATTATTATTATGACTGATATACTTTAATTATCATAATTACTATCATTATTTTGAATGCCAATAATCTTTCTTATGATAATTGTTGTTATTGTTTTTTATAATTCTTCTTCATATCATTACATTCATCATTATGATCATTATTACTATTTCTTGAGAAACTTCATATGAAGAACACACATATGCACGCAAGCACACGCACATGTGCATTCACATGCAGTCACACACATATATTTCCTGACTTACATTTAGCTTGAATTATTATTTGATTATCATCACTGTCATCATTATTATCAACATCACTGTAATTCAGTATTTCTATTATAATTATCATCACTTTTATCATTATCAGTAACATTACAGTACTGTAATCTTTCTTTCTTTCTTTTTTTTTGTGTGTGTGTGTTTGTGTGTGTGTTTTGATTGCTTCATGATAACAATTACAAAAAAAAACAAAAAACATCATATAACAACATATCTCCCATAAACAATAGGAATAATACTACTAATATTAATAAAGAATTATATTGATGATCTGGATGCCAGAAGATGATGCAGTAGTTTGCATAAATGATGACTGAAGTGTATGGTTATGGATGGTATAATACATTTGATGTGGGCATTTGACAATGTTACATAAAAAAATGTCAATCTGTTTATGTAAACCACAATATAATATTACAAGATACAAGAAATAAGAAAAAATAGGAAATGTCAATAAAAAATCCATCAAGCATGAGATGAACAGACCAGAAACAGACCAAGTTCTGATACTCACTTGTCGAGGGTCTCATTCTGCAGGGCTCGCAGTTTCTCGATGACCGGCTGCACTCCCAGCATGAGAAATTCGTACCGGAGGTGCAATCTAAACTCCAGAGAGTCTTCTCCTGGACCCCATCGGATTATGGCATTGATGAAGGACATAATTGCAATTTTTAGGGATAACTCATCGGCAAAGTTCCCCCAAGAACGGTCCAGATCAACAATTAAGGTCTGAAAAGGAGGGAAAAAAATGGCTAATGTTATTGTACTATCAAGTTGGTGCTATGTAACTGAATAGTAAATTTAACTAAGTTATAGGATGACTAAACACTAAGTGTTTATTCATAAATACTAATTAAAGAGGAACTTCCACTCATAATTGTGGAAGTTACAACATGAATAGGCAACAATCATACCTGGAACCGTGTCCTCTCTCCAGCAAACTTCTGGAAATGCAGCATTGACTCTAGGACTTTCTTGTGACCACCAGGAAGTAGGCACACACCTCCTAGGATTTCAAGCACCATCGTCTTGGTGCGGAAGTTCTCTGTCGTCAAGCTTTGTGAAATCACATTCATGCATGTTGGATGTGCTAGGATGTGCTTTCGACCATTCTGAAAGATATGGTGAGAAAGGTTCAGAAATGGTTCTGTTTTTTTGGTCTCTCTCTCTCTCTACAAGTTAACAAGCTATCTTTCATGAATGGACTTTTTTTTTCTTTTTAATTCCCATATCTATGCACAGCCACAGCAGATAACACTGGATAATGAGAGCCCCTTTCTACTCATCATACCCCTTACCCATCCAACCATGAGTCCAGCTACCCTTAAAACGTGTTTTTTACTGGCCTTGCCTAGTAATATACTTGAGTGAGCAATGTAAGCTGGTTACCGATATCCTTTCAGAGACACCTCAATACTCATGAGTGTAAGATTTACTTTATTTCATGTACAGTTTATTTTGATCTTAATATTTATATAGCAACTATTACCCTTCAAGACTAGGAAAGGGAAGAATATATATATATATATGTATATACATGTATATATGTATATATATGTACATATACATATATATACATCCATATATTTATATGTATATATACATATATATGTATAAACATACAAATGTATATATACATGTGTGCATGTTTTATATATGAATATATAAAAACATATGCATACATAAATGTATATATAGATATATATGTATATGTATGTATATATAAGAGTATGTATATGTATGTATATATAAGAGTATGTATATATATTTGCATATATATGTATATACATAATATATACATATATACATCTATACATATATATTACATCTATATATATATATACATTTGTACATACATATATATAAATATCTATACATATACACACATACATAGACATATACATAAATATATATATATATAATGTACATGTATATATAAACATATGTATAAATTTACATACATATAAACATATATATACATATATATTTACTTGCTTGTAGATGAAAGTAAAGAACTAATGATTACAAAGGATAACATACTAATAACAAGAAAGGAATAGTAACATCAACTCACTGAATTGTTCATGAGCGCCTTGACGCAGGCAATGACATTGGTGTGGATAGTGGACTGGAATGTGGTGTCCTCCATCTTGGTGAGAAACTGCAGCAGAGCCGTCAGACCACCAGCCTCCATGAACTCATTGACGAAAGTGTTGCTCTGGGTGGCCAGAGCTGTCTTGAGCCCCTCTGTGTATTTGAGCCAAGTGTGGTGCTGGTACTGGTCTGTGGGCACTGTCATCTCAGAGTACTCATCCAGTTTGGCTATGTATGCCTCTGGACGCTCGATCTTCTGCAGGAGAAATAGCAGGGTTTGTTTAATAACAGAAGCACTTGGTATTGTTATAAGGGAATAACTAAAGTTGATGTTAACCCCAGTCAGAAGCCAAACTAGTGTCATACACATCCCACCCTTCAGATGTACAAAGGAGCTGAAAACTAGAAGCAGAATATTAATTAACTTCCCAATAACTTCTCAGAGGGGATAAGCACAGACTTCCATCATGATTGTGGATCTGACATGTTTGTGGGAGTGATAAGTCCTGAGAGCCATTCATTCTTGGGCTTTTGTACCATGTGGAGGATTCACAAAAAAAAACACACCAGAGGGATGGGCACAAACAACTAAGACTATTTGCTTTACTGCTTCTCTATGCCCTGAAGAAGCAATAAAGTGTACAAGACTTTAGTATAATTGTGTGCTTTCTAGCTCTTTCCTTTTTTGCTTTATTTACAGCTTGTGAGCCATGCCCTCTGTTCTGGGGCTAGCATACAGATTGTGACCCTATTGCCTTTATGCAAATATTGCTTCATTACTGTACTGTGTTCCTTTTTTTCTAACTGTATAATGCACTTTAATTATGATTAAAGATTGTTTCCTTGTTTGTGCTAATCTAATAATAAAGGTAATGAGAACACATAACTGAAATGAGCATCACCAAAGCCTAAAAGAAAATGTCAATATTCTTAAATCTCTATTTCAGACACATCTAAACTTTTCCATTTTTACCATGAAAGATATTCTTGTTTTGTGTGTCTTGTAGTGATCTGTAACTGAGTAAGATAAAACACTGAAGTATAATTTCCTGATTACAATATGGTGTCAGTCAGCAAATATCAAACATACTATTGTAATAATCATAACTGCCTTTTGACAATCAGTCATCAAGCCATCTTGTAGCAATAAACCTCTGAAGGTCACATAGTAAACTATAAACAACAAACAAAACTTAAACATACCATAAACTGAAAAACATATTGAAAACTACAAACAAATAGTAGATTATCTGATATTCATACTGAGAAGGCATAACATGCCATATATCCAGTGATCTTAGTATATCAGGTGCAATTACATACAGATTGCTCCATAAGTGCTTAGTCACCACAGAGTCAATTACTAGTCCCTTCTATCTCACCTGTTTACTCTTTCCCTTGATCTTCAGAAAGATTCTTTCTACGTTTTATTGTCATTAGTATTCTAACAGCATAATGATCATAATTTCAATAATAATAACAGTATAGACATCAACAATACTAAAAAAAAAAAATTCAAGAAATAACGAAGTCAAGAGAGGTATGAGGCTTGTTAACCCTTCTGTAGTGGGCTATGCTTTCCATAATAAATGCACTGGGGCGGGCACTATTTAGGGAGTGAGATAGCAAGCAAGGAACACTGCTGATGCCCTCCCAGAGGTACATGTATATATATATATATATATATATATATATATATATATATATAAATATATATGTATAGATATATACATACAAATAAATTATACAATATATATATATGAAAAATATATATATATACTTAAAAATATATATAAATATATATATGAAAATATATAATATATATATACAAATACATAAACATACATATATAAATATATACATAAATACATACATATATATATATATATATATATATATATAAATATGAATATATACATAATATATATACATATAAATGTATATATAATACAAATAATATATATATACATATAAATATATATATATATATATACATATAAATATATACAAATTATATATAGATGTGTATATATATAAACATATATGTAAACATATATATTTATATATATAAATATGTATATATATTGTATATATGCAAATATATATATACATATATATAAATATATATATATATATTGCATATATACAATTATATAAAAATATATGATATACAAATATAGATATATATATGAATATATATATAAGCACATATGTTCTATATTTGTCTATATACAATATGCATCTGTATATGTGCTGATATGTATCTATATACATATACATCTATATCTGTCTCTCTACATGTGTGTTTATCTCTATATATATGTATATACAAATATATTATACAAAATATATATATATAAATATATACATATATATATAAATATATATAAAGATATATAAATATATATAAGAATATATATAAATATATATATATACAAACACATATACAGATAAAAACACATATAAACATATAAATATAAATATATACATAAATATAAAAATATATATAAACATATATGTAAATATGTATATATTCATATATATAAATACATATATACAAATGTATATATAGATATAAATATATATATATACATATAAATATATATAGATGTATATATATGAAGATATGTGTAAGTATATAAATTTATACATATATAAATATGTGTATATATATTGTATATATACAAATATATATAAATATATATATGAATATAAATATATAAATATATATAACTATATATCTGTGTATTTACTTATATATAAACATACATATTTACACACATGCATACAAACATACACTTATGCATGTATTCTGTTTTATGTTTTTTTTTTTTTTTTTGTATAAAAGACATTCTCTTTAAACTTATTGATCACTGGAGACAACTGTATAAATTCCTAAAAGGGCTTTCATTGGAATGCAGAAGGTAATAAGTGACCTTGTCTGCAGTCCTAATCACTCATTCCCTCCAATGTTGATATGAGGTTAGGAAGCAAGTCATTTGGTTGTTTCCTTTGTCCAACATGATGTTGAATTATCAAGGAGTGGTACTTATCTGGAACAGGGGTATTTAGCTAAAGAAATGATATTCACTTTCAGAATAAATGCAAATGCAACAATGCATTATTTATATATCACAATATGTAATACTTCTCTGGTGGGATAATAATAAAGCATTCAGCTTACATATAAAAACATTATTTCCATATTGCTACAGACTGATATTGACCTGCCACCGGGAATTGGTAGTCATTTGCCATAATGTACTCAAGGTAGACTCACAATTGTTCAAGGAATACATACCTAGTGCAGGAAGAGGGTACTTACACCATATGATATACCCACCCCTGCAATATAACTACAATAGAACAATAGTACTTATCTGGCACAGGAACGGAGTACTTATGTGGATTAACTTGTTAAATATAATCTAACTACATGAGAAAATAATCGAGAGGTACTTATCTGGCACAGGAACAGAGTACATATATGGATTAACTTGTTAAATATAATCTAACTACAAGAGAAAATAATCAAGAGGTACTTATCTGGCACAGGAACAGGATGCTTATGTGAATTACCTTATTGACAATAATCTGACTACATGAGAAAATTATTGAGAGGTACTTACCTGGCACAGGAATGGGATGCTTATGTGAATTACCTTTTTTTAATATAATCCAACTACGAGAAAATTATCAAGAGGTACTTATCTGGCACAGGAACAGGGTACATATGTGAATTAACAGGCAACAAATATTTTCCAGAGAATGGTACTTGTAAAGAATATTTAATAAATGTAAATGTACCACTGTATTGTTTATATATCAAAATATGTAATAAACATCTGGTCCAGGAATTTGGCAATTACCTGTGACAAGATAAAAAAACATTAAGCTTACATATGAAGAATGGAATAGCATAATAAGGTATGAAAAATATCAGTATTCCCGTACCACTATAGGCTGATCTAGTCTTGGCAATAGAAATCAGTATTCATTTGCCATAACAGACTGAAGGTAATCCAACTGATAGTTGCTTAAGTGATACAGCTCTGACACAGGACCAGGGTATTTACATGACCTCCCATTGTAATCAACAAGAGACATGTCAAAGAGTAGTACTTATCTGGCACAGGAACGGGGTACTTAAGTGTATTAATAGGCAACAGATAATGATACTTACCTCATAAAGCAAATGCTATTCATTTTTAGTAGAACATGCAAAAGTATCACTATTATCTATATATCACAACATGTAATACCCATTTGGTCAAGGGATGTGGCAAGAAAAAAGTAATTGTCAAGGAGTGGTACTTATCTGGCACAGAAATGGTGTACCTGTTTGAATTAATAGGCAACAGATAACTGTAAAATTGTACTTAACTTGCAAATGAAATGGTATTCTCTTTTAGTGAAAAAGTAAAAGCAACACTGTACTATCATACATATTACAGTATGTAAAACTTGCCTGGTTTAACCTGCTTATGAAGAGTGGTTTCATATATTAAGATATAACAATCATTAAATCAATTTCACTACAGACTGATATTGACCATGCAGCAGAAACCAGCACTCATTTGCCATAACATACTCAGGGTATTCCAACTGGCAAATGCTAAAGAAATACACACCTGACACAAGAACAGGGTACTTACACGACCTACAACTGTAACCTAATTACAATAGACATGCCCATCAAAGGGTAGTACTCATCTGGCACAGAAACTGGGTGCTTATGTGAATTAACATATTGAATGTAATCTAATAACAAAAGACAAGTAATTGTCAGGGAATGGTACTTATCTGGCACAGGAAAAGCAGTATTTGTGTGAATAGGCAAGCTTAGCTAACAAACCAAATTATATTCATGTAAATGGATCAATCCATTATTTATATATCACAATATGTAATACTTCTCTGGTCCATGACTATGACATTCACTGTGATGGGATAATGACATAAAGCATTCAGCTTACATATGAAAATATTAGTATTTTCATGCTGCTATAAATTGATATTGACCTAGCACTGGGAAATGGTACTCATTTGCTATAACGTACACAAGGTAGACTCACAATTGTTCAAGGAATACATACCTAGCACAGGAATAGGGTACTTACATCATATAATGTATCCACCACTGTAATATAACTACAATAGAATAGTACTTATCTGGCACAGGAACGAAGTACTTATGTGGACTTGTTAAATATATGGCAATTACCTATGCCTATCAAAGAGTAGTACTTATCTGGCACAGGAACGAAGTACTTATGTGAATTGACTCCTTGGTGGCTGAGTACTTGTGGTTTTATCTATGTGCAAACAAAATTTACAACAAACTACAGCATATATATTCATATAAAGGGTTAAAAATATATGCTTAAAAACTATGCTTAAATAAACAGTTAAAAATCAAAAATACTTAATCTTTTTTTTGCATATATTCATTTCTACCTTCAGTCTCTTCTGGCTCATTATATTAAATTTAATTTCTCTTTTCAAGTTCATTTTATCCATTTTCTTTTCAATCACTCCATTACATGACTATCAAACCTCATTTCTGTTTTGTTTTGTTTTTTCATAGTCACAATTGCTACTTCTGTCAAACCAGTGAGGGCAAATCTTCAAAAATATCTAATCAGTAATCCAATACTAAAACAATATAAGAGAAAAAACAATATTACAAAAATAATCTGTTAACCATATCATTATCAGATAATTCAGCCTTTACTCTTTCTCTAATTAGAAGAAATTCTGAGCTTGATAAGGAAAGTATGTAAACGAACTGATTCACAAGTACACCACTGCAAGCCACATGCATAATTTACAATTCACACAGAAAGCCTTACCTTGTTGGAGGATTTTAAGGTGTGGTAATCATAGAGGAGCTGGAGCTGTTTTTCAGGTGGAAAATTAAGAATCCCGTTCTTCTGTGTTGAGGTCAAGTCCAGCTCATCCTGTGGAACGAGAGACATTAAAGGGCATATAAGGAGTTATTCTGAACTATATGTCAATCAAGTCAAAGGACTCAATTGGCTTTTACTTTTCCATTCATCCAACATGCTTCAGTTAATTTCAGGTTTCATTTCAGTTTCACCTGTATTATTCTTTGAACACTAGGTGGACCATCATCCATTCTAATTTCTCTATGGAATGAAAAGGAAAGGATGCAGAAAACCATGGATGATATAAATTAATTTGAACAGAGTGCCTTGTTTGCTTGTATATATGAGGCCATGCACATCCAAAAGTATTCTCAGATCATTTGCATGAAGTGTGTTCATCACATGTTTTGTCAGTTTGATCTTTTATATCTGGGGAAGGATTATGGGTCAATCACCCAGTATAGAGACCCAGCCAACTACATGATGTCAAGTCAAAACAATGAAAATAAGGAAAATGGCATAAACAGTGCCACACAAGGTTGACTTGTAGTAGCTGCATTCAGCTGCAGGGATGCTGCAATTGTCCTGCGACTGCAGACCCACCAACATACACAAAGATCATATCTGCCAAAAGGTTCAGATCAAAACTATCCAAGATCAAAAAACGAAACATCCAAAGTTTATACCAAAGTGGAAAACTGGACAATATTTTCCATGAGATGGATAGAATGAATTTCCAGTGCTTAGGTTTGTGTTAGGTCAGATGGCCCAATGCTGGCAACTTTATGAAGAACCAGAACTCATCTTTTCAGGTCAAGAACACAAACATGGTGACTTTAATGCTAACGTTGGGTGGTTTAATGCCCACCCCAGACAACAATCTATATGGATTAGTCCTGGTGATAGAGCCAGAAACCAAATTGACTATGTTATGATCAGTTCAAATATTGGAGCAATCAAAAACTCCCAAGCATATCCAGATGCAGATGCAAATTCAGACCACAACCCAGTAATAATTAAATTTAGATTGTCCCTTAAAAAGTTGAAAAAAGTGAAGACTGCCCCTAAATTTGAACTCAGTCCATTGCAGACCAACCAGGTATGAGAAAATCTTCCAGATGCTCTTAACAAAGACACTATTGTTTTGGTGCCTTCACTGAGAACATCCAAGCAGCAGCTGCTAAGACAATCCCAACAGTAGAAAAGAAGCCCTCATCAAACCGGTTCCACCCAGAGCTCAAAGATCTGCCACGAAAATGGCAAGTCTCAAAACAGAACCCCGTGCAATATGAATTGGTAAACAATCTTTACAAATAGGAATGTCAGAAAGCCAAGGAGAAGGAGAAATAGGAGCTGTAGGAGATATGTAGTGAAACAGAGAATCACAGTTGTGATCCCGGAGATGTTCTAAAGGATAGGAGAGATCACTTGCATCAATGCAGCAGATGTTCGCATTCTCCACAAGACCGAGGATGTCAGTGCTCTTTGGGAAGAGTATGTTCAAGAACTTTTTGACAATATGCAATAACCAGATGATCTAGTCCGGGAAGTTGTCACATCTGGTCCACCAATTCTGAAGTTAGAAGTGCAATGGTCTGGGAAAAAGGCATTGATCTCATTTGGAACTTCCTAAGTGATATCTATGAAACAGGCAAATTACCTAGAGAAATGCTGAATCAGTATTCATTGCTTGCCCTACACAAGGTCCCAGGAACACCTGAGTACTCACAACATTGCATAATTAGTCTAAAGTCATATTCCTAAACTCTGCTGAAAATCACACATTAAGCAGATGATACAGTTCTCATGGCCACATCTGCAAATGACCTCCCAAAGTTCTTTAATGCTGCTGTGGATGCAAGCAAACACCTTGGCCTCCATGTCAACAACCAGAAAACAAAATGAATGACACAGCTAGAAAACAAAATGCAGAAGACAGAGGTCATACTAACTTGTCCACTGAAACAAGAAGGAAAAATCCAACAGGTCTCTTTCAATTAATTAGGAACTCTTGTCACCTCAGATGCTCGTTGCAAGAAAGAAATCAGATACCAAATCCGACTAGCAAAAGATGCATTCTCCAAACTCCAGAACATCCTAACAGATCACAAGCTCTTAATGCAAATGCAACTCATTAAAACTTTTGTTTGGTCAACTCTCCTATATGGCTGTGAGTCCTGACTGAAACTCTGCACAATATAGAGACTACAGAAATGTGGTTCTACCACAGAATGTTGAGCACCTCTTACACCAAACAAGAGTCCAATGAGGAGAGTTTCAAAAGAGTTGGACAGGGACATGAGCTTCTAGAACTGATCCGAGTATGACAACTCAATTTCCTTGGAAATGTAATCCATAAAGGTACATTACAAAATCCTTGACAATTTTAATATACAAACACCTGAATGCCTCTGGGACAAAGCTCAACAATGTGAAACATGGTGCCAAGTAGTCTGTCAAACACCACATCAGCGATGCCTTAAAAAAAATTGTGTATAAAATAGTCAATAAAAGCATTTTGAGCAAATGGTCTAAGAACACATCTAGACACATGTGCCATCCTATATCCACAAATACATAGGGCACCCTAGAACTAAGTTGGGTTCTATGGCAGTTCCTGGGAGTAGTCCCATTATCCATGGATGTAAGACCCTTATGTTGTCTCATTTATGGATCTTTTTATTGGTGGTCAAAGTACAACATTCAGTAAATAGGCAACTGAAATTACCAAAAGAAAATAACATTATCATTATGCTCCAAGAACAAATCACAGGTCAGCTGCATAGTTATAGTCCACATAATCAAATTAATGAACGGACAAATTTCAGTGTTTCATTTTGCAATCTGGTTTGTGATTACTCCACCTGCCCTGGATTTATGATTTGTCCCCAGTAATTTTTTGTGAATGTTGTTACATGCAGATGGCTCCTCATGTGCTCAGCCAGCAAGGAGTCTATCAGTAGACATAGTGATTTCCCTATTCCTTGAATTGATGGGAAAATGTATTTTTTCTTTATAATACAATTGACTTGTAGAGCCATATACTGTATGTGTAAATACAATAAATAAACTTGTATTACATTGGGCACGGCATGTATTCTTGCCATACGTGGTGACTGGGTTAAAACACTTGAATATTCAAAAATTGTTACAGGCCAAGCATGTTAATGGGCAATGGAAAACTAAAACTTCATTATCACAGGCCCCAACCAGCCTCAGCTCATTGCCTATCCTCTTGTCTCACTGGTCCTGTAGACATACTTACATTCCTCACACTGAGTATAAATTGAGACATTCATAAAATCATATATGAACAAGACATCACATCATACAGAAAGGAATGCAACTTGCAATTCTCTTCACCATAAGCCTCACTTTATTTTTCATACTTATCAATAATATTCAAGGTGGGAACACTTATGCCAATTACAAAATCAAACACTATATACCACAGAAAAGAAAAGATCTTGCTGTTCTCACCAAGAGCTCCGTGACTTTGGTCTGCAGTTCCTCTGGGGCCATGTTGTTCTCCATGTTGGGGGGCGGCGCCATCTGCACCATCTGTGGCTGCTCCGACACCACATGCTCGATCTGGGGTGGCTCCGCTCCCTTCTGCAATGGGGGCAGAATGTTGCAATGTCTCAGGAGCAAAGGGTTGAACATGCAGGTTTGTCAGTGCAAATATGTAATCCTTAAGCTGGGAAATTATGCATGTGTATGTGTATGCTTACAAGACTGTGCATGAGTGTGTGTGTGTGTGTTTGTATGTGTGTGTAAGTGTATGCATGTATGTGTTTATATGTATGTATGTATATGTGTATGTGTATACACATGTGTATGTGCATGTATGTATATATAGATGTTTGTATGTGTATGTGCATGTGTGCATACGTGTGTCTGTATGTGTATGTGTATGTATAAGTGTGTGAGTGTGTGTGTGTTCATGTATGTGATATACATATGTATAAATGTATATGTATGCATGTGTGTGTATAAGTGTGTGTGTGTTCATGTATGTGATATACATATGCATAAATGTATATGTATGCATGTGTGTGTATAAGTGTGTGTGTGTTCATGTATGTGATATACATATGTATAAATGCATATGTGAATGTATGTGTGTGTTCGTGTATGTGATATACATATGTATAAATGTATATGTATATATGTGTTTGTGTGCGTGTGTGTAATATATATATATATATATATATAATACCCAGATATACATATATATAAATTAATACAGCTATAAAATAAACCCTGTCTACCCGACTTCTTTTCAAACACCAAGAAGCAATAAACAACGCAAGCGAGGAACGAGAACCGAGAATCTAGTTTTATGAAGCACACAACTACAAGAAAAACAAGTCACACTATTCACTTGTTCAAGGATGAGTTTTTAATCTTTATCAAGTTAAATCATTCACATTTGGAGATGTATTTAAGAAGTGACAATGAAGCTAAATTCATTTGCTTAATGATTATGCAATAAATTAGCAAGATTACTTTATTGTTCCATTTAATGACCATTAAAAGCGCATAACGAATTTTAAAAATAGGACTGGATTTACTAATAATGTAAAGTATACTGAAAATATCATTAGCCTTCATCATAATTCTAACATTATTAATACTGTTGTAAGTTAATGACAATAAGTGACAATGAACGAACCGGCAATACATCCCTCCACGAATCTATTACCAACGAAGTCCCTATTATCATACAAGCACTTTTTCCGTATTTTTTATCTATTTATTTTTTTTTTTTCGCATGACCTCTCCACGTGCAATTGGCCTGATCCTATTTGTGTGATTGCTTAACACATGGACATGCTCTGGCCAAGTTGGCGTCTTTCAAAACATGTGCAGGAATAATAATGCTCTTGGTAAAAGGTCGCGGGATTAGTGTACAACCAGTTTTCTTCATAACTGTGTGTTTAGGCGGATTTCCTAGGAGAATAAATTTCATAGTAATACAATTCCTCGACAGATTTAATGAAAAAGTCCGTTCTATTGCCGAGCTCGGTTAGCTCTCTGGAGGTCCGAGAAGACGCCTTGTCCGGACCAAGGTCTGTAAATATACTTAATAGTGGATTATCCGACTCGTTGGCTCATACACATAACGTTATTTTAAAAAAAATGTAGGTATGTAGAGGAGACTATTGTATTGTGTATTTAAACATTCTAGAATGTTAGCCAGCTTAAGATCATTTCATTTATTAATAGGCATAGACCTTCCGGAGCTCAAAATCAAATTAGTTCGACGAAAACGGTCTTCGTCGAGAATGCGATGCGATACCTGCGAAGAGCCTCAGATTCACGTGGAAACACTAAAAATGTGAAGGAAAAGTGCTAGTATGACAGAGCCTTTAAGCCAACTCCCGGACTTATTGGTCTTTCCTCCAGGGGTCCTCTATCTCCCTGAGGACATGAAAGGTTGCCGGTCTCCTAGGATCCCCGTTAGTCACTCAAGTCAGCTCAAGCTCCTACTTCTTCGTCCGTCAGTTCAAGGCTTCAGGTCCCCGAGTCTAATTAGGTTCCCAGAGTCCCCACAGGTCACCCCGGTCCCTCCAGGTGCCACGCCAATGGTATCCTGAGTTTCCTTAGGTCTTCCCTGAACCATGAGTCTCCCCCAGGGCCACCTCAACCTCCTGTGCCATTCTAAGAACGACTGAGCGTCTTTCGGTGTACATCTAGCTCCCCTAGGTTCGCCTGGGTTCCTCAGGTCTCCCAAATGTAGGCCCTTAAAGTCCCTAACGTGTTTCTAGGTCTTTCTCCTGGTTCTAATGTTCCCACAGGTGTGTCTAGGTCCCTGGCCATTGCAGACACCCCTACTTACGAAGCAGAAGCAGGAGGAGTACCACTCGCCCCTCCTCATCTTGGCGCGTTTGAGCTGCGAGGCCGCGACGCCTCGGCCTCTCGATCTGTCTCGACCTCTGACCTCGCTCGCGCCCCGGAGGTCACCAGGGGGGGAGGAGGGCGTGCCGTTGGGCCAGTCGCCCAGCGAAGTCACACGCTCGTGCAGGCTGTCGCGCAGGTCGCTCAGGCTGGACCTGGAAGGGAGAGCAAGGGTTAGGCTGCTTGAGGGTCTCCAACGGGCCCGGCAGAGGGCGGCCGATTGCTAGCGCTGCGAACAACAACTACTGCCAAGGATATGTGTAATGATAACATTGATTAGCAATAATAGCAATAAGGATAATATCAATAAAAATGACATGGCAATAACAACATCGACTTAAAATAATAACATCGAAAATAACAATAACAACCACAATGATACTAACAGTGCTAATACTAATTCCACTACCACAAATAATAACAATAACAACAACAATGATAATAATAATAATAACAGAAGTGGTAAGAGCAAGTACGATAAAGAGACAAAGGCAGAGAAAGAGAAAGAGTATAGGTAAAGTCCATCACGAAATTATAATAGAAAACGAATTTCCTGTCGCGTTGC